AGTGTCAGAGGAGCTGTTGTTGAGACCGATTTCACAGAGCAACGGCCCAGGTCCCTATCTGCTGGGCCACTTGCCCCTGGGAAGGGGACAGCCCTTTCACCACCTCTTATCTGCCCCATGGGGATATTGGCCAAGCCCAGTTAGCAGGCAGTCGATAAGTTCTGAAAGTTAGGCCCCTGAAATCCTTCGCTTCTTTGAGGCAGGGAGAGTCCGCCTGAGCAAAACCTAGAATTAGAAGGGCCCCCGCCCTGGCTCCTTGGGATCTAAAGGGAAGGGTGGGAGCACTTTTAGCCTGAATGGAACCTCTCATTCTCTGTCCACCTGGTCTGCTCTGCTGTTCCTGGATCCTGACAATGGCCCTCAAGCCCATTCATTTGGGACACTTCTCCAGGCTAATCCCTCCACCAACTACACATTTCACCCCAGGAAGGAGATGGGCCTTGCAGGCTACATTAGTCTTCTATGCTGCACAACACATCACAACACACTTAGCAACCGTAAACCACATACATTTATTAATTCACTGCTCTGTAGGTCGGAAATGTGGGTATGACATGGCTGGGTTTCCAGTTCAGCATCTCGCAAGGCTAAAATCAAGGTGTTGCTGGGCTGTATTCTCATCTAGAGTTCAGGGTCCTCATTTAGTGGTAGCAGAACTACTTTCCTTAGGGTTGTAGGATTGAGGTCCCTGCTTCTTTGCTGGCTGCCAGCAGGACACTCTCTCAGGTCCTCAAAGGTACCCATTCCTTACCCTTGGTCTCCTCCATTTTCAAATCCAGAAATGGGGTCTATCCTTCTTGCTTGGAAACTCTGACTTCAGGAAGATCCCAGTCCCTTTTAAGGGTTAATTGATTAGGTCAGGCTCACTTCAGATATCTCCTCTTCCTCCTCCTCTTTCTCCTCCACTACCTCCTTTTTGGAGCTAGGGATCAAACCCTGGCCTATGCACTCTAGGCACACACTCTAACACGGAGCTCCGCCCACAACCCTCTCCTTTCTTAAGGTCAATTGTATCACGTCACATAATATAGCCATATAAGTAGAACCACATTTATGGATTATGCAGTTTGTGTACCCCAGGAGGTGGGGGGTTAGGCTAAGAGGACATCTTAGGATTCTGCCTATTACAAGGACTTTTGATGTCATTCCTGACTCTTGGGTGGGGGGGAATCAACCAGTAAAGTTAGAGATTCTTCAGCCTTTTGCGAGATCATAAAAGAACCTTGTGGGAAGTTGGGACCCTCACCCTGGGAACATCACCATATGTCGCCTCTGATTGCAGAGTCTGAGGCCCTTTGAGCCTTATTCATAGTTTCCAGGCTGAGAAATCTGGAGCAGGGTGTAGGGAGGGGTGAGATAGAGTGAGGGCTGAATGGTGAGAGTGCAGGTCTGGAGCTGCAGAGTTTTCTACCTCTGAGCTGCTACGTATTGGGGGTTGATGGGAGGGAAGTAAGCGAGAGTTTCTTGGCACCGCTCACTGCTGCCAAGGTAACCTCTGTTCAATGCCTGGTATCACACCTCATGCAGAAGCCCACATTGTAGCAGGGTAGAGCCTTCAGTGCCTGGTCTGCTCTGGTCAGGCTGCACCAGGGGCTACAGCAACCTTCCCATAAGTCTAAAGCTTGGAAGAGCCCCTAAGGGTGAGAATAGGGAACATTAAATGCAGAAGCAATCTGTCAGGTCCTCCAGGACAGTGCAGATGTCAAGATGGGTGGGTGACAGAGTCTGTTTAGGGACATCTAAATTCTGTAGTAACTCAGAGTCCAAGGCTCAGGATCTGCAACATGGGTCCAACCCTCCTGGGAAAGGGGGTGGGCCTACAAGTAGAGGTGAAGGGCATTAGCCCCCCTTGTTCAAAGGCTCTGGGCCCCAAGCCCTCCAGTCCTTTGCTTTCCTTCAAAATCCATATCTATTACTCACACTGTAGCTTGTGATATAGAGACAGGACATGCTGATTCAAGGGCCCCTGTGGGTAGAGCTCAGCCTAAATTATGCCATTGGCACCTGATGTAGACATTGGTCTCTGGAGAGCTTTATTAATGTGTGTCAACCTGATCACTTCTGAGCTTAATCATATGAATAGCATTTACTTATTGAGCAATAACTAAATGCCAATTACAAAATTGGATGCTGAATGCTGCGTCCATCAAGGTTCTTAGTGGCAGTCCATAGAAATACTTCCTGGCTGAAGTATTGTATTCAATATATTTGAAAACAAATATATTGCAAAGAAGTAAAGTTCATGAAGAATCCTGGATCCATCCTCCAGCTCTGGGGGCACTGCAGCCTGGAAACCTGACCTTGTCCTCCCTAGCCACTGCCAGAGAGAGGTCTTCCTGGTTCCCACTTGTTCTGTCACTAGCTCCAGGTTCAGAGTCTTAAATGGATATTTACATTCAATAGAGCCTAGTCTATGCCTTAGCTACAAAGGAGGCTGGGAATCGACTTGACTTTTGTCTTCAATAATCACATGCCACCCCTGACCAAGATCCGTGGCAAGAGGAGTCCCTTTGAACACCGCAGGAAGGGGTGAGGTGGCTGGGCAGCTCACACTATGTCTGCTATTATATATGCATTATCTCATTCATTCCTTCTGGCTGTGGGTGACAGCCAGAAGGAATGATGATAATGAGGGACAAGGAGGTTCAGGAACTCATCCACGGTTGCACAGCTATTACGTGGTAGACTCCAGGCTGACTGTGACTTGGACTGCCTGATTCCTGAGCCTGCACTCTCAAACCACTGGACATTGAGAGATAAAATCTCAGGGTCACTAAGCTGTGGACTTCAGATCCTGAAGGGTGTGATATAGAAGACAGATTTCCTTCAAGGATAGGGGTGCCTCAGGAGCCAACTAGCTCCCAAGAACCAGCTTGTCATTTTCTAAATGGTTTGTCCAACATGAAAATCATTCCTATAGGGAATGCGGGGGACCGGTGAGCAGAGTCCAGCTCGTTGCTCCTCCCTAGTCTGTTGTCTAGTATCTCCTTGATTCCTGCTCCTGTCTGTTTAAATCAGTGGAGAGGAAGAAGGATATCTCCATTCTTAGTTCCAGACAGGATGCATTCTTATCCTGCTTGCTAAATCCCTTTGAAATATTCTGCTAACTTCAGTTGGAAGGTAGTAACACTGCCCTGCGCCTCTGCTGAGGGTCATCCCACCTGCTCACCTGTGCTCATGATGCTCCCTCTGCCTGGGATGTCTCCATTTCCTTCCCTTCTATTTACCACCTTTCCATCTGGACAAGAGCCAGGCCCTTATCTCCAGGGAGCCCTTTATGCCATTCTTCTGTGGATGAACTTCCTCCTGAATTGGCAGAGGGTGAGCCTAGCTTGGGTCCGACCCCTTTCCCTCTCACTTTACCTGTTATGCATCTCATCTTCCCATTCAGTCCATAAGCAAATCAAGGGCACAGATTACGCCTCACCCTGGTTTTGTCTCTGCTTGCACACAGCAGGCACACAGGAAGGGAGAGAAGTTGGGTGCCAGAGAAAACTGGATTTGAACCCTGGTATTTATTCGGACTATTTACTTAACCATTTTCATTCATATTTATTAAGAACCTACTATGTGCCAGGCACTGTGACATCCAACACCAATGATACAATTGAGTAAAGAGATGTGGCCTCCTGTCATCACAGAGCTTTTTGTCAAGGGAAAAGGGTAGATGTTGACCCACAGACCAGATAAACACACACACACACACACACACACACAGCTAAAAATGTCTAATTGCAATAAGGACAAATCCGTGGCTCTCCAAGAAGAACATAGAGGAAGTTTATCCAGTGTGGGCAGTGGGGAGGGGGCTGGGTCAGGAGTCACAAGCCTTACCTGGAAAATTCTTTAAAGTTGAAATGAGACAATACTTGCCATGCACAGCATTTAAAAATGTGCAGTAAATATTACCAGCATAAGGATCAGTGAGTTGGTCAGCTGAATGGTCAGGTTCTGATGCAAAGTGGTTAAGTACACAGGGGACACTTTGTGTGCTTAGATATCTTCAGGGCAGTGATTTCCAGACTAATTTCCCATCCGAGTCAGCTGCAAACTTCTCAAAAATGCAAGACATCTGTCCTCCCCTCTGGACCTACTAGCCAGCCAGAATTTTCCAGTGAAGGGTTTGTATAGTTTTTAAATCTTTAATAAAGCCTCTCCCAGTATTATAGATTTAGCACACATTGATCATAACCATTGAAGAAATGCAAAGTTATAAAAAGAAGGAAAAGAACAATCTCCCTCTCCACTCTCTCCGGTGGAGGCCAGCAAGGTCAGCAGGCTGGTGTGAATCCTTTTTAGCATTCCAGCTCTTCTAGTGACCATATAAAAGAAACTTACATATAAGCACCTGCAGAGGGCTTTTTCTTTGTAATGTATTGCCATACTAAATGCTTTTTTTGCATCTTGCTTTCACTTATTAACACAGTAGCCACATCTTGTCAGGTGGACAGATATAAGTCCAGCTCTTCTAATAGCCCCATGGCATTCTCTAGAATAGATGGGACACATTTTATTCTCTGTCCTATTGATGGATATCCAGGTTGTTTGTGATACTTCAGTCAAGCCATACATAACTGTGTACAATTTTTCTTACTTACAGATGCTTTTATGTCTAAAAGACCGTCTCCAAAGAGGGAACTGGATCAAATGACCAAATGTGCATTTTTATTTCTAATAGATACTGAAAGCCGCATTCCCCAAATGTCTGTAGCAATTTGCATCCTCCACCAGGAAAGCAAGAAAACTGTGGATTTTAGAAAATCTCCTTAGGAGATTCTGAAGAGCAGTACAGGGTGGAAATTCTCATCCCAGAGCCGAGCCATAAGGGCCCCCACATGCCTGAAAGGGACTTGGGGAGAGACCCTGGCAGCTAATGAGTGGGCTCCCCAGGAAGTGAGAAATGTCTTTTAATCAGTCCTCTCATCTCCCTCTGGCTGAAGCAAACCCTCCTTCCCTAGGGGAACTTCCTCAAGGTCTTCTATAAAATGCCGCTGTGTAGCAGAGGGAGGGAAGACTCTGGGCAGGTGAGTGCTCTTCTCCCTTCCGGTGGCGCTAATGCTCATGACAGTTCTACCTCCTGAGAGGTGCCTGGCTCGGGCTGAGGGCATCTGGAGGGCTGTCAGGGACTGCTAGTGGCCTTCAGGTTACTTGGGTGCCAGCAGGGATGGGACTTCTCTCTTTGGCTTGCGGGAGGCTGAGGGTGATGCCCTGAGAGGCATGTGTGGCATCTGAGCTCCGGGGAAGGGACACATTTTCTAAATACTGTGGGTTCCCAGGAAAGCCAAGGCCCATTGCTTCTCCATCCTTTCTTGGTCGTAGACTCCGAGGGGATCCATTAAATACAAATAAATAAACATAATATTCTCTCCACTTCTGGGCTCACCGGAAAGCCAGCCCCAGCCGTCCCTCATGGTCTGCTTTGTTCTTTTCAGAGAGGTTCCCAATGTCCTGGAGCAGCCAGCCTGGGCGCCCTCAGCACTCGCTTCTCTGGTCCATCTTGACTTCTGTTCTTGACTTCTTTTTCTCCACCTCCCTCCCAAGGTTCCCTAATTGTCTGGCTCCTATGCGTGTGTCAATGACAAACTTGTTTCTCCATTGCAGGACAAAGCCAGGATGAAACTCCCTCTATTTCTGACTCTTCTGGTTGGGGCCGTTTCTACTCTTCATCTGAGTAAGTCTTGGCCTATCAGTCTTCCTTTCTCTGTTTTGTCTTGTTCTATGGTAGATGAGTCTGAAGCAAGTACTCGCTCCCTTCCCTGATCATGCCCTAATTGAGAATCTCTGTTCAGGCATCTGTTATGACTATAGTCTTGGATCTACTGTGACAGTCCCTATTTTGTCCAGTCTACGTAATGCTAGTGGTGCGCACAGTTCCTTTTACTTTGAGCTTACTGAGAATGTCGCATGCCTTCTCTCCTTGACTCCTTAGAGCATCTCCACGAGGTATGTAGCATTGCTTATCAATTTCACAAAGAAATAACGCCAGGAGTAAATGGAGCCAGGAATCTAACCTAGAGGGCCTGACTCTAAGCCCTTGCTCTTTACCACCTTGACCTCAAGGGGGAGGCTGAGTCCTCCTCCCAGAGGCGCGGTTGCAGATTTCTCTTTCCAGGCAGAGTTGAGAGGACAATGGCTGGCATGGGGGCAGGGCAGGAGCTGTCCATGGTTCCGAGGAAGAACCAGGGCCCGAGGTGAAGGATGGACACTTGGTCTTTCTCCCTGCCAGGGACAGAAACTCCCGACGTCAACAGCCCCTTGGAAAATGAAGCCTTGCCTCAGGATGGGGAGACACTAGAACCAGAACCTGAGGAGGCCCCTGCTGGGGAGCTGATGCCGCTGGAGGAGGAGGTAGAAGGAGGCTCTGGAAGCGAAGATGATCCTGAGGAAGAGGAGGCTGTGGAGTCAGACTCAGCCCTGGATGTGGTGGACAAGGACCTTCAGTGCCCTAAGGAAGAAGACATAGTCAAACTGGAAGGCAGCCCTGGATGCAAGACGTGTCGCTACCTCCTGGTGAGGAGCGCCAAGCGGTTTAATAAGGCTCAGGTGAGTGGTCTGAGGCTGGGCAGGGGAGGGGGCAGGAGACATGTCTTCAGCTTCTGAGGCACTAGTTTTTTTCCATTTTGAGGGCTCTGGGGTGTCAGTAGAGGCTGAGGCCTCCAGAGGTGCTGGGGTCAGATGGGGGGATATGTGCAAACTTGATGCATTTTGTACACGACTTTATTTTGGTATCAGTATATTTGAAATCCACCCCCCTTTTTTTCCATGTTGTCTTTTGTTCACCAATCTTTGAAATAGTCGTGGTGGGGAGGTAGAGCATACATTTTGGAGACTCAGAGACCCCAAGGCTCTGGCCATGGGGATTCCTGTGTGAAGGACACTGCATTCTCCCTCTTTTTCCCTGTCTTGCAGTTTGTCTGTCAGAGATGCTACCGGGGCAACCTCGTCTCCATCCACAACTTCAGCTTTAATTACCAACTCCAGTGCTCCGTCAGGGTGCTCAACCAGGGTCAAGTCTGGATCGGAGGCAGGATCGTGGGCAGGGTAAGAGGAGTGCCAACACCTGCTGACCCCAGCCAGGGCCCAACTTGCTGTGGATGTGTCTGCATTTCTGCTCTATGAGCCTCTGAACGGCTGGGAAAGGAAGCGCACCTGGACGAGGCACCCACGGCCTGCCCAGGCATTGGGAAGAGCCCAGGACTTAGAATCAGGAGGTCTGGGTTCAGGTTCCTCTTGGCCTCTATCTCCATGAACTGGGCAAGATTGTGGGCCTCTTAGCTCTAGGATGGGGTCAACTTAAGGGTGATTGTGTCACTGGGATGCCCAGCATGCGATGACGGTGCAGTTGACTAGGACAATGTCCACTGTGGTCAAGGGCCTATGGCCCTGCAGACAGCAGGAAGAGCCAGCAAGGACAACACTGGTTCTGTCTCTCTGCCTCCCTCTACCCCTCCTCAGTCTACCACTTCTCCTTCTACCTTCCCTAGGGCCGTTGTAAAAGGTTCCTCTGGGCTGATGGCAGCTCTTGGAATTTTGCGTACTGGGCTGCCGGCCAGCCCAACACCTGTGGTGGCAGATGTGTGGCCCTGTGTACTCGAGGTGAGATGGGCTGGGGACGAATGATGGGACGTTCTGGGAGGCGCCCAAGGAGGCAGCTCTAGGGAAGGAGCCTCGCTCTCCAGGGAGAGGCCTCCTCGGTCTTTCCCCTCCACTGAGGCTTGGGGCTGGAGGCAGGAGTTGGGAGGGGAGTCTTCCTGGGGGAAGAGGAAGGGGTAGGCAGGAGGCTGATGGCTCCTTCTTGTTCTGCCTGCTCAGGAGGTAACTGGCGTACAGCTCACTGTGCCAAAAGACTTCCCTTCCTCTGTTCCTACTGAGGTGGTCCCAGCCAGGAGCTAGAATTGGCCCCCTCCCAGGCAGCTGCCTCCCCTTTCCTGTCTGCTGCCTTTCCTGCCACTTCCCTACAATAAAATTGCTATACTGAAAAAAAGTGCATTTTTTCCTGAGATCATTGGTCCACACTGCTTAGCCTCACCTTTGGACTTTCTGCCTTATGATTCCAACACACATTCTATACCTTTCATAGAATGGTTTAGAAGTTATTGCTCCTCAAGGATGGAGAGTTGGTACTGGGGTCTGTGGAGCTTTCCAGTGGCAGCTGAATGGGCTCTGGTGGGTCTCAGAAGATCCAATTACTGGGCATCTATATGGCAGGTGTTGCCAGGAACCCCTGCTTCATCTTCCAGAACTTCCAGGGTTTTGGGTGGGCTTATATGTGCATCTCTGTGTCCAAGGGCCTTTTCCACTCATTTCTCCCAACTCCAGAACTATGGTTGGTTTGATGTGATTGGAAATTGACACGTCCCTGGGAACAGCAGACAACTCTCAGAAGTGGGTACATAAGCACCCCAGTCCTTTGCCCCTTAAATGGAATAGATCCATGGCATGTATTGGGCACCACTTCTCGGTTACCCATTAAGTGACTGGCCTTACAACACACCTTGTACTGGCTGCCTGCTCTTCCCCAGATGAATTCTCTGCTTCCTACTAGTATCTCTGCACTTCCCAAATTTACTATAGTATTTACACTCAAATCCTTGCCTCAAGCTCTGCTTCTGGGAAAACCCAGAAGAAGACAACTTGCTATGCATCAGAGATGGGGGAGGGTCTTGATAACTTGCTGAGGTTGGCCTTGAACTTGTGATGCTCTTGCCTCAGTCTCCTGAGTAGCTGTGAATACAGGTATACACCATCACCTCCAGCTCATGTAGTTTTTTATAATATAAGCTCAATAAGTTGCTCATTACTACCACTTTTTGAGCACCCACAAAGTACCCCCAGCTGTGGCAGGTATTTTACATAATGACTTTGTGCAATCAATCCTTCTTATTTCCACTTTGCAGAAGCAGACTCAGAAAAGTCATGACTTGTCAAAAGACTTGCCCAAGACTAAACATTGGAGTGCATCCAATGCCAAGATCTGACTCTAGCTGCTCTAAAGTCTGTTTCTTTAACCATTATGACCCCATGACTGGAGGCTTTGGCTGTTCTCCCTCACTCCTGGGTTTCTCTTAGGACATAAGACTCACCCAGCTGGAGATGAGGAAGCTTCCATCAGAAGAAAAGCATTCTAAACCCCTTCTCCACTAGGGAGGCCAGCAGAGTAAAAGGGGTCAATGCCCTGAGGCCCTTTCCCTTTAGAAATCTTCAAATTCATAGAACATGGGACAATTCATAGAACATGGGACAGGGGTCTTAGAGGGATACACAACAAGAACTCATTGTTTTTGAGTGTGGGTCAGAGAGGGGAAGGAGTTTGTCCAGGGTCTTTCAGTCAATAGAGAAAGAGACAGAACTCACACACTGCTCTATGGCAGCGCTGGTTTCACAGATGGCAACATGTGAAACAGGTACGATGGGTTCTGCCCTGTTGTGGATGCTGTGAGAATGTAGCTGAAGGCCTTTCAGTCCTTGCCCTCATGGACTTTATACTCTAACGTGGAAAGGGCACTGTTTCCTCATATAATAAAGAATAATAGGGACCACAGGTGTAGCTAAGTGGAAAAGCACTTGCTTGGCATATATGAGGGCCTGGGTTGGATCCCCAGCAAAACACACACACACACACACACACTCTTAAATAAAGTCTCCCATTTGCTAGGCACTTATTATGTGCTAGGTTCTAATGGAGTGGTTGGTGGATTTTATCTTTTTCCTCACACATCTCTTTGGTTGGGTGTGTGTTGACTCTCAGTCCATGGAGATTCCCTTTGGGGGATAATGTCAAGAAGGAGGCGGGAGGGAGGCTTCAGGGCTCCTCATCCTGTTCCGTCTATTGTTCTGGGTGTGGTTTCGCAGTGGCGCCCACTGTGAAGCTTCCCTCTGCCGTCCACTCTCCAGTGCACGGGGCAGGGTGCATGTTATTTGTTCATAAAAAGATTTTTTTTTTAAAGTAAAGATCATGAAATAAGGAGAATTGCTGTGCGTGTGCAATTCTTTCTGACAAGAAGCTAACTGAGCTCTGGGAAACGAAGATCACCCCTTGGGAATGGCACGTGTGTAGTTCTGTACACGGTGCAAAGAGCAGAGCAGCAGAGAGCTCAAAGGACGCAGCGCTCACTCCTTACTCACTGACGGGGCCGCCCGCAGCTCCGCGTGCCTCATCTCAGAAGGTGACTGACAAGAGCCACTCCCAACTTCACAACCAGATGATGTCATTAGAGGAAGGTCCTATTATTATCCTTACAGATGAGAAAACTGAGGAACAGAGTGGCTGACTCTGGGCCTTGTGATTTCACTGTACACCACACCATGTGCCTGGGTTTTTTTTTTTTTTTTTTTTTTTGGTTTTGTTTTGGCACTGGGGATTGAACCCAGATCCCCACACAGGTTAGGCAAGCACTCTGCTGCTGAGCTTCCACCCCAGTCCTTTTTCATTTTTTAAAATTTTGAGACAAGATCTCACTAAGTTACCCCGGCTTGAACTTGTTGTGATCCTCCTGCCTCAGCCTCCTGAGTAGCTGGACCATGTGACTTTAGAGATGATGAGACCCAGCCTTTGTGTAGTGTAGGGTTGGACTAAATCTGTAAACATCGCTGCTGACAGTCATCTAAAGACTTGGTGTTCCAAGTATGTTGAAAAGGTTGGCACCACTGGCCAGACGGTGTAGCACGTTTGGGTCTATCAAACAAGGACTAGGAAGTCAGACAGACTAGGGTCCTGCATACCACTTGTTACTAGTTTGTGAAACTTGGGTAAGTAATTTAACCTCTCCTGATTTTGTAGTAAATATGTAGAGATGACAATACCCAATTTGTAGAATGATTTTTTAAAAGATTATGTTGTAGGATCTAGTTTGGGGTGGACCTTCAAAAATGTCATTTTTGAGCCAGGCATGGTGGCACATGCCTGTACTCCAAGCACCTCAAGAGGCTGAGGCAGAAAGATCCCAAGTTCAAGGCCATCCTGGGAAACTTTGTAAGACCCTGTCTCAAAATATAAAAAGGACTGGGGATGTAGCTCAGTGGTGGAGTGCCCCGGGTTCCATCCCAAGTACAAAAAATTAAAAAAAAGTCATTTCTAGTTTTAACTCAGACAGGCATCACCATTGTGGTCATTGATGAGGTTGTTGAAGTCATTAGAATGTCTTTGCCTGAGGTTTGTGCGCAAAACAAAAACAAAAAAATGAGTCAACTTGAGGCAGGGAATGGGCTTGGAGAGGAGGGAGGTCCGTGGGAGGAGGCTGGAGGAAGGCAGTTGTGGGTGGGTAAGGAGCCTGAAGACCTGGGTTTAGGCTGGTCTCCAACTTGCTCTGTGCTCTTGGGCTCTCTGAGATGTCATTTCCTCATCTCTAAAATGATGGAGGTGCTGCCTCCTGAGAGAGCCAAGATAATAGGTCATCCGACCACAGGTAGAATGGAGCCCTGGCCTGGGTTCCGGAGTGAGGGAGTGAGGGTGAATATGGAAAAAGGGAGTCCATTCTTCTCCCTTCTTACTAGGGAGGTCTCAAGTTTGAAATCCCTTGACCAGGCTCTTGGGCCCTGGCATTGGCCAATCCTCCCACAATCAGGTAGATAAGCAGGTCTGGTTCGTTGGGCCAGGGAGATAAGAGCCAAGGCAGTTACTTTGCAACCAGGCCCAGAAATAACCTCTCGGTTACTTCTCCATTTGTAGTTCCCTTGGGAGAGCAGAGGAGGGGAAGGGATCCAGGCCTCCTGGCCCTCCGGGCTACTTGTCCCTGCTGCCTTGGAGGCCTGGGCTGGAATATGGGCAACAAATGTGCACTCTCCAGTAGGAGGCCTGGAGTTGAGTGCCCCCCTCCACTCCACAGTCTTGGCAGAGCAATCTGGCCGCCAGGGCTCAGCATTTGCTGAATTTTCTTTGGACTGCTGGGAATTTGGCTGGGTTTGGTAGGTTAGAATTTTGATATTTTGTTCCTCAAGGATGTTTTGCATTAATTTTGACTTTAAAGAAAGATTGTGTTAAAATACTATTTATCCTGCATACTGAATTTTTTTTTTTTTTTTTTTTTTTTTAGTGCCTCCTTAAATTTTGCATCTAAGATGAGGGCCTCACTTGGCTGACCCTAGTTCCGACTCTGGACTCTCCTATCAGCCTCTAGTAAGAGAGCGGAGGTAAACTTGGGGTGGGAAGGTGACCTATCAGTGTCTGGAAGATTCTGCATGTAGCTTTTCATTCTAGCTCCGCCTCTTGGCCAGCCATGGACATATGCCTTGAGGTTGGACACAATGGCATGTTCTAGATCAGCGATCCCCAGATGTTCCAGAGGACATTAGGAAATGAGGGGAGACATTCTTGGTTGTTCTCAGGGGAGCTGCTACCGACATCTAGTAAGATGATATCTCGTAGATATCAGGGGTGTTGTGGAGCTTTCCACAATGCCCAGGGCAGCCCCCCACAACTATTAATTGGCCCCAAATATAAACAGTATAAAGGTTAGGAATCCCTGATCTAGATTTTCAGTACGGAGGAAACATCAAGGTTTTTCACACACTAAAACTGAGAAAGAGAGGGAGGGAGGGCAGGGGGTGAGGATATGGGAGGAGGGGAGAAAAGAGTTGGAGCTAGAGAGACTTAGAAATCCTAGTTCCTTCACTGTCCGTGTAACCTTGGCAAATTGTGTTCCTCCACTACGCCTCATTTCTCACATCTGTGAAGCACAAATAGTCAAACATTCCTGGTGGAAATGGGTGAAGGGAAATAAGAGCTCAAGAGAGTGTTGCTCCCCGAGGTCCCTACTTCTGGGATACTGATCATGGGAGGCTACTCCTGAGTTAAGGGGCATTGTTTAGATATTATTTAGATTTTTTTAGGGGGTGTGCCGGGGATTGAACACAGGGGCACTTGACCACTGAGCCACATCCCCAGCCCTATTTTGTATTTTATTTAGAGACAGAGTCTCACTGAGTTGCTTAGCACCTTGCTTTTGCTGAGGCTGGCTTTGAACTTGTGATCCCTGAGCTGCTGGGATTACAGACATATGCCACCATGCCCGGCTAGATGGAGAACTTTAAGGGACACTAATAATAATATGCCTGGACAATAGGCATGACAGCCAGGCAAGACAGTGTGTGTGGGCTCCCATTCAGGGCAGCAGGCTGGACAGGGCAGGGCCCTGCAGTCCCAGGAGAGAGCAAGACCCAGAGGTAAGAAGACTGAGCCAACAGTTGTTATCAGCTCCACTGCCCCAGCCCTGGCCTGGGGCAATCATCCTGGCCCCTTCCCACTTCCCCAAAAGCCCAGCATAAAGGCTGCTTGTGGGGCGCAGCCTCCAGAGGCACTGAACTTGGAGGAGCCAGAAGGTGAGTACTCTTCCTGTTGCCATAGGAGGGGGGTGTTCAGAGCCTGGGAGGAAGTGGGATCTCAGGTGGAAAACACCTAGGAGACCTGTCCTGAGGTGGTCAGTGATGGCCACTATCCTCCCTCACTCCTCCCCCAGCATGAGGGAACTCAGCAGCCCTGTTCCTATAAGGTCTGAGATTGTGGTCCAGGATTGTGTGAGGATTTCAGGAAAAGGGGACTTTTGCACCCGTGCTGTCCCTTCCCCATTCCTTTTCCAGATGCTTCAGCTCAGCGTCTGTCCACTGGAGGAAGAGGAAGCCCTCTAGTTTGTCCTTTAATCAATTAGTTAAACAAATATTGCTGCTGTACTATGTGCCAGGGGCTGTGCTAGACACACAGACTGCCTCGAGGAGGAAGGCGGAGTTGTGTCCGGCTACGAGACTGAGTAGATATGAAACACCCCCTGCACCTAGCCCTTCTCCTGCTGGGGACAGTTTCTGCTCTTTATCTGGGTAAGTAAGTCCTCCCATCCCCTTCTCACTCATCATTTCTCCTTTCTCCTCTTTTTAATGTTCCCCTCCCTTTATTTTTACTCCCATGGGGCAGGGCCAGTCTCTCCTCCTCAGTTGATCTGGCCCATCTCTGGCAAGATTATCCTGAACTTAGAATTGGGACTGAATTTTTTCTCAGGGTTCCTTCATAAGAGGTAAGCACCCACCTGTTAAGATGAAGAGCTGGTGGCTGTCCCAAGATTCTCACACATGCTCCTTTCTCCTGCCCCCAAATGTACACCTTTGGAGTCAGCCAGGGGTCAGGTTCTCATCCATTTGTGACTCTGACCCAAGACATCTCTCCTCATCCAACATGGAGGAGGCCGTTTGGGCTGGCTCCAGAGGACCTGAGCAGGATGGTTGGAGCTGTCCGTGGTCCTGGAAGGAGGGAGCCTCTGATGTGATGGCAGGCTACCTCTTCTTCCTAGAGAATGATGCCCCCCATCTGGAGAGCCTAAAGACAGAGACAGACCTGGATCAGGATCCAGATGGCTCAGGGGAGCAGGAGGGAGAGTTGGCCCTGACTGAAGAGGGGATTCAAGTAGAGGGCGATGAGGTCAAGACTTCAGGGTATCAAGAAGCCTTTGAAGATGAGGAGGCTGTGGAGTCAGGCCCACCTCCTTTAGAGCAGAACTTGCTATGCCCCAGGGAAGAGGATATTGTTCAAATTCAGGGAGATTCTGGGTGCAAAACCTGTCGCTATCTGCTGGTACAAACTCCAAAGACATTTTCTCAAGCTCAGGTAAGTGGCCAGGAGCGTCTGTGCAGGGTGGGAAGGGGAATGGGGGCTCAGAGAAGAGAGTAGATCCAAACTTCTGTTCTCTAGTTGTTTAACTTAGTGGCCCACAAACCCTAGTTTCAGAATCACCAGGAGGTCTTGTTAAAATACAGATTTGAGGACTTTAATCCCACAATTTCTGGGGCTGAGCCTGAGAATCTACATTTGAAACAAATTCCCAGGTGGCAATGATATTGTTGGTCTGAGGACTGCACTTTGAGAACCACTAATTTGAACAAAATCATGGGTATTAGATACATCTGTGTTCAATATTATTTATACTTTCCATGGTCTGTCACCTGGGCAAGTAGCCACATCTTTCAGAGCTTCAGTATCTTCATTTGTAAGATGAAGAAATATGGTTGTCTCTCAGTTTGCATGGGGTATTTATTCAAGGACCTCCCCCCCCTGCCATAGATACCCAAATCTTCAGATGTTCAAGGCCCTTATATAAAAATGGCAAATTATTTGTATATAATCTGTGCAATTCCCTCCATGTACTTGAAATCTTCTCTAGATTACTTATAATATTGAATACAGTATAAATCCTACATAAATTACTGTTATAGTGTATTGTCTAGAGAATAATGACAAGAAAAAAGTCTGTACATGTTCAGTACAGATACAATTTAAAAATTTTTGATCTGTGGTTTTTAAAGATCTGTGAATGAGAAACCCACAGATACAGAAAGCTGACTGAATACTACCAATATCTTAGAGTTGTGAAGGTTAACTGAGGTAATGCATTCAGGATAGTTAGAATTAACACTCAGTAAATAGTGACTATAAATAAGTATTATTAATAATATTAATTATTATTATTTCCTGAAAGAATGCCCTGGCAACTGATTAAGGAGCAAAAGTTATTGATGGAGAGAAATAGGTCCCTTATTTCTAACTTGAAAATGGTTGTAGGTGTCTTGATTGGAGACTCAGGAATTTGAGAAAAAAGAGAGTGAATTTTCTACCTCCCCCCTTATCTCTGCAGAATGTCTGCAGGAGATGCTACCAAGGCAACCTTGTCTCCATTCACAACTACAATTTCAACTATCATGTTCATTGTTTGGCCAGTAAGATAAACCAGGCCCAGATCTGGATTGGAGGCGTCCTCAGGGGCTGGGTAAGTCTGGGGCCAACTACTCAGTACAGAAAATTATTTTTGATTGTTTTAAGGGAGCACCTGCTGGGGCCAAGCCTTAACCTTGCACAGATAAGGTGTCCATAGAGGGGTAAGCAAACAAGTGCCGGAGCTGGCTTGTGCTGTTTTGAGAGAACAAATTACACACATCTCTGAGCTAACTCCATGCTGGTAGCTTAAAATCAGACATGGTATCCTTTACACCAAGGATATTGGCAGTCCAATAAAATGTCTGTGAGAATCAACTTTTAAGGAAGAAGGTTTATCTTGGCTCACTCTTTCAGTTCATGGTCATTTGACCGTGTTTCTTTGGACCGGTGGCAGCACAGAATATTGTGGTAGCAGTGTAAGGCAGAGGAGATGTGTTCACCTCATCGCAACAGGAAAGAAAAGAAGAGAGGAATGGGCCAGGGTCCCAAAATCCCCTTCAAGAGCACACCCCCATTGACCTAACTGCTTCCCTGCCTCATTTTTGTTTGGTTTGGGGGGTACTGGGGATTGAACCCAATAGTGAACTGCCTTTGGGCTGCATCCCCAACCTTTTTTAAAATTTTTATTTTGAGTAAGTTGCCCAGGCTGGCCTCAACTTGTGATCCTTCTGCCTCAGCCTCCTGAGTCACTGGGACTTATCCCAGCACTTGGCTTAGGTCCCGCCTCTTAAAAGTGCCACCATCTCCCAATCACACTATGGGCTGCTGATCAAACCACAAGCACATGGGCCTTTGTGGGACATTTCAGAACCCAAAATATCATGTTATACATCAGGGCTCCTTCCTATTTCCCATTTTCTCACCTTTCCCCAGAGCTGGTTTCAAAAACATTTACCAGTATAACACTCAAGTCATGAGACAGATTCTAGGTTCAGGTTGGTCACTTACTAACTGAAGAGCTTTAGGAATCCTAAGCTTCTTCATTTCTACAATAGGGATCTTCTTATCTTGGGGTGGCTCTGAGATTGTGGATTAATAAATGCCATTATATTTGGTACTCGAGGTGTGGTCCATGGGCCAGCAGTATCAGCATCACCTGGTAGCTTGTTAAATATGCAGAATCTTGGGCCCAACCCCAGGTCTCCTGAATCAGAATCTGCATGTTAGCAAGATCCTCCAGTGTGGTTGGAGAAGTCTGCTCTGTGGGATGGCTGGGACAAACGGTTACCATTGCCCACAAAGCTTCAGGAATGGGTTGCAAAGGTATCTGGCTCCTGGCCAGGCAGGCAGAGAGGGAAGGCAGCAGTGGCTATCTCTGAGTACCTGGATCTGCCTTCCTAGACCTCTGCCCTCTGATCTGCCTTATCTTTTCTCCAGTTCCTGTGGAAGAAGTTTTGCTGGACTGATGGAAGCTCCTGGAATTTTGCATATTGGGCTTCAGGGCAACCTGGGTGTTCAGGAGGCCACTGTGTGACCCTATGTACTGGAGGTGAGGGGAATGGGCCCCTGGGGAAGGAGAAGGGGGTGACAAAGTGGATTCTCAGAAGCTATCCCTTTGAGCCGCCTGGACACATCTCCTTAAGCTCACATCCAACCCCAACTTGTGAGTTATCACTTGTCTGTGAGAAAGGCTGAGATACAGGGATCCCTTGAATAAAACCAGGTGGCAGGGGTCCTCTAGGTATGAGGGAGTTGGCTAGGGGTCCTTAACTTCCTCTGATAAGAGGGTGACAGATTCAAGTGGTCAATGTGAAAATGAGAGCGACACATGGATATAAGGTGTGAATGAAGGAGAAGGCCGGGTGTGGTAATTAGAGATGGCTGAGAGACAAGATGCCAGCTTCAAACAGCAGATGTGGGCAACAGCATGCGCGGCAGATGTGAGGGAGTTTAGTTAGTGGCTAAGACCATATGTGCTAGAGCAAGAGGGCTAGGAGTCACATTCCAGCTCTGCCACTTGCCAGGCAGGTTACAGGCAAGTTATCGATCACTACCAAGCCTCAGTCTCCTCTTTGTGGGACAAGGATCATGACAGCACCTGCCTCTTGGAGTTGAGGTGAGGACAGAAGGTGACAGTCGACGGAAAGCACTTAGCGCATAGCCCAGGTCATGATATGGCTTGGTAAATGTAAGTTAGTGTGTCCAACGCCCAATGACGATGGCTGCAGAAGGGACATCCGAGGTACCTTAGGAGGGAAGGGGTGGGGCATCGGCCAGACCCAGAGAGGCAGCTGACATCACTGTGCTCTCTACTTCCAGATGGCCACTGGCGACGAGCTCCGTGCCATAGACAGCTGCCCTTCGTCTGCTCCTTCTGAGCCAATGGCGCGGTGAACCAGCCTTGGAGCCTCAGGCCTCTGGCTGCCACTGCCCCGCTCTCGGCCCTGGACTCTGCCCCCAGCCTCTCCTGGCCATAAATCCACACTTCTCACAGCATTCCCTGGGTCTTTTTCTTCATTGCTCTTTCTGGGGGCTCCCCAGCTTGGGAAAGTCCTGGAAGCCTTCCCCTCTGCGGGGAAGTGAAAGATGGCGGAGCCCGGCCGCCGGCGGCGGTGCGGAGCTGCTGCGCGGCAGCGCCACCTGGAGGCGGAGCGGGGCCCAGGCGCGCCCTCGGCCGGCTTTGCCTCTCCGCACCCGCTCACCGCGGCGGGCAGGTCGCCTTCGGTGCCGGGTGGGGAGCCCGCCTTGCACGGATTCAGTGTGAGCTGCGGGGCGGGGCGGCTTTCCAAAATGCAGGCGAAGATCCCACTTGGGGGACGCCACTTGGGAGAAAGTACCTTGTCTTGGGGAAACCCGCTTCTGGTCCAGCCCTGTGCTCTTTGGCCTCTGAGAATGACTCCCATTTCCGGTTCTTGCAGCCATCTCTGTTCATAAGCCAGCAGAGAGAAAGCCTACCTCCTCCATCGCCGCCTACCTCTGCAGAGGGGCCAGTCTTAGGAAGAAGCTGCCTCCCGCCGGCCTGGGCCTTGCAGCCCGAGGCATGATGTCCGCTGGCAGCACGGTTCCCATTCCCCCTTCTATACAGCCTCGGGCCTCTCTCCTTCACCCACTTTCTCAGAAAAAAAGACCCTGGGGACTTGGCGAGAGAACACTGTCCTTGGCCTTAACTTTGTGCCAGCTGGGGCATTGGGCTCCAAGAGGGATTTAGAGTTCACGAAGCAGGAAGTTTAGAGCTGAGACTGGGTATTAAGAGGGTAGAGTTGTGTGTGTGTGAGAGAGGGAGGGAGAGAGAAAAGGTGTTGGGGGGGGGCATGTAGGAGTATTTCTATGTGCACCCATGTACATGTGTATGTATCTATTTTGGTATATATTTGAGGTATTCTTTATATATGTGAGTATCTGCATATAAAAACCTATACATGTGAATGTGCATAAATGTGCATGTATTTGTGTCTTGAGTGCACATACATTTTATATCTCTATGTATTTATGAGTGTATCTGTACGTATGTGCTATGAATGTTTATGTCTGTGTAACTTTGTGTCCTTACATGCTTGAATCTCTATGTGTATTACATATGTGTATGCATATCTGTGTGTTTGATTAGTGAGTGTGTGTGTGTTCATGTGTCAGTGTGTACCTGACACAGATAGCCATTGTGTACACAGAGATCTGTATTTGCATCTTGATGGAATGTGGCTTTAGGGTTCATTTTTTCTAAATGTACTGTTTCCCAGAGTGCTGGGGTTGAGAGAAGAGGACAGGGGTCAGCCCTGGGGTATGGGTGGTGGAGAAACAACAGGGATGAGTTCTTTGAACATGGGCAGGTCTCTGGATGCAGGTGAATGGGCCTTGGTATGGCCATGAACCTCACTGATCCTGGCCTTCAAGAACTTGAGGTGAAAAGACCTGTCCTCAGTAGAAGTGTTCATCCCTCCACCTTGGATGGAGATCGGGTCAGCCAGCTTCTAATCCCAGCATGTCAGGTAATCATTCTCCTCAAAGTGTGGAAAGGGAGCTGCCTGGGGGATAGGGCCTCATGCAGGTCTCTGTGTTGAACACTGCAATAAGCCAATGCTTGATGCTGTGCTTCTAAAAGGAATAGTGGAATCCAACTCCAGGGAGAGGGAAGGGGAGCTCTACCTAGGTAGTTATGGGAATGGTATTTCAGTTGAATGCCAAGTCCCCTTTCATCAACCTCTACATCCCTCCCTCATGGCAAATGGCCTCTAGCCAAAGCCAGTAGCCCAATATCTTGACCAGAGATAGAGGCAGGGAGGAGAAAGAAAGAGGGAGGCCAGAATCCTCTCAGGCTGAATCTTCCTTGGGGCAGGCCAGAGTAGGTTCCTCAAATCTGATGCTGTGTATTATTGGGTCTCTACTTCAACTTTTATATATTGGTTCATTTGGCTGTTTAAGACCTTCTGGTTTTGAATAGCTCTTGATTAAAAAGCAAATGCTCTTGAGAGAAGAAATTCCCTAGAAAGTTAACTACTAATTCCTCTGGGAGACTAATTGACAAATTGCTGAGAACAAAGCTTTTTTAGGAAAAAACACACAAGGGAAGGATGTGTGGAATTGTTAGTGGGTATGGTGGGCATGGTGGGTGGGGAGGGAAATATTACAAAAGAGAAGACAGTGCTGTGGTCACAGTTTTCTCTTCCTGGAGACCCAAGAAGACTGTATTTCCTAGTATTCCTTGCACTAAAATTGGGTCTGCAGACTGCTACTGAATCTAGCTATTGGATATGGTGAGAAGTAGGCCACTTTCAGGCCTGGTATCTAAATGATTCCCATGATCCTCCAGCTCCCACTCTTCCTGTCGCAGTGACCTGGGAGCCCATGTGTCTCTGATGGCATAGCTACCAGATGGAAGGGGTTGTCTGACCTACTTTGTTTGATTAAACCTTGAGCTTTTGCTTGTGACTGAAGCAAAATCTATTTAAGCCCAAGACATATAGAAAAGAAGGTGTCAACAAATTTCTTGATTTTTTTTCCCAGATAGACCACAGGAGTCAAGAGCCCAGGCTCCAGAATCACAAATTGCTGGGGTTCAAATACCAGTTTTCTCATTTCCACCTCTCCATTTTAGTAAGTCTCAATTTCTTCTTCTGTAAAACGAGGGTTGAATTAGGCATTGCCTGTCACACATTTAGCCCTTGCTTGCCAATGGGTGAGCATCAAAAAATGCTAGTTTTCATGCTGAGTAATTAAAGCAGCAATGTAGTGTTAGGCGTGAGCATGGTTTTCCAGCTCGAATTTCCACCTACTGTCAATTTGTTTTTCTATCAAACAGGATTAATAACAAACCATAGCAACCTCACCAGGGTTGGCGTGAAGGTCCATGTGATTGTGTTGGTGATTGTGCTGAGCAAACCACGACGTGACAGAGACAAGTTAGCTGTTGTCATTAGTACTGATATTAGCTCTACGTCTAGCACATAGAAGTGGTACTGGGTTCAGATATGGGGAGGACAGCACCAGGCTCACATACACTTACTGGCAAGCTCAGGAGGGGCTGAGGCACCTGCAGGAGGATCACCCCAGTCTGGGGGAAAGGGAGGAGCTGGGGGAAAGGGTCCCTCTGCAGGACACAGCTGCCTCCATCTCCTTCTTAGCATCCCTGTGAGTCCAGCCTCAGACTCAGTCTCTCTGAGTCTCAGTTTGTCTTCCTGAGAGCTGGATTCACCAGGGCTGCCTGTGGGACTCCTGGCTGGAGGGCGTGCCATGGCCTTCTCTGATGTCTCTGCTGGAGAAATGAAGTTTGGTCAGGTCTCCCAACACTGCCCAGTTCCTGAGGCTGGCCCTGGGGTGATGTCACCCACCACCCTGAGGAGGGGACTGTGAGTGAGGGCAGAGCTATGGGCCTCATGTGAGGGAGTATTGCCCCTTCTCCCCCTGAGATGGGAGATCACTGGGGTTGGGCTTTTGCAGATGCACCCAGTGTGAACCTCCCAAGCTGCTCACAGACCTGCCCCCGCCTCATTTCCCTGCACCTTCTAGTGAGGGGCCAGCCCTCCATCTATCATTCAGCTCATTTTTGCTGAGACCTTATGATCATGTCCACACTCCAGCTTTTCCAGATGCAGATTCACCAGGAATCCCAGGAAACTCACACCCCAGGGTTCTTGCTTGCATGAGCCTCTTCTAATTCCTAATTTTATATTAGTTTTAAGGAGATGCTTCTAAATTGTGTATGGTGTGGGATTCCTAATGGCCGGGTCTCCCCTGAACTCTGTCCTGGTGTGTTTGGGGGCCTCTCAGTATATGAAAGCCCAGAATGGAGACAGTGGGACATCTGGGCCAATGGAGCCAGGGTGATGCTCTTTCCAGCTTCCTCCTCCTCGGAGCAGCAGGACACCTGGGTTCTCTCTTGGCCACTAACTCTGTGGAACTGGACCAGTTTTTTTCCCTGTCTGGACTTAGTTTGCTCATCTGTAAGGAACAAATTGGGACAAGATGGTTTCTGAGGCCCCTCTAGGTTCTACCTTAGAAGACCACCATCTATTAAGACAGGCTGGCTACCTGGCTGAGCAGCTCACAGCACATTGGGTCTCACTGCAGCTTTGTCGTTGACATTTTAAATAAAGATTGCTGAGCTGCTGGGACAGGGCCCAACTACAAACACAGAATCACCTCCCCCCACGGTGTGGCCTGATCTGGCTCCCGGATTGGTTTGGGGACTGAGCTGTGGGACAGTCATGCCTCCTATTTCCTTCTGAACTAGGAACCCACCCAAGTGAGAGATGAGACCCATTGTCTCAACAGGCTCCCCTACAGTGGGGCCTGAGTTCCTGGGAAAGCTTGGGGTTACTCTTTATTAACCTAATCAGGGTCAGGGACGGGCAGCTGTTGTAGTAAGGGAATTCCTTCTTCTCTTGTGGGTGTGGGCAAAGGAGTTGGTCAGACCTGGGTTCAAATCCCAGTTCTCTCACTTCCTGGCTGTGTGGCCTGGTACCATTGACTCAGTCTCTCTGAGTCTCAGTTTGTCTTCAAAACAGGGAAATGAGTATTTGCCTTAGAGGATTGTCTGAGGATTAAATGAGACAGTGCGTGTGGAAGTGCCTGGCACTTGGTAAGTCCTTGTGGGCACCCGTCATTACTATTAGTATCTCTACTCTTTGGAAGGGGGCAGCTTAGGTGTTGCAGTCCCGGAGTCCCAGGAAGCAGATGGGGGCATGCAAAGGGTGAAGGTGAACTGAGGTTGTAGGGAGAGCACTACCAGTCTGCAGGAGCACGAGAGGCCCAGTCCCCTGGCTCCCAGCCGTGGCCCCATGGGGTGGGCCACAGAAGTTAGAGCCCTTATTTTTCCCCACCCCCCCTTGCCAGTGGGGCTCCCTGTTGGGGAGGCCTGGAGCCCAAGGGTGAGTGTGGGGCATCAATGGCCAATGGAGTAAGCCCCTGAGTCCGTGGACTGCTTCTCCTCTGTGGCCTGGTCCCTGGAGAACTCTGGGTTGGCGATCTTCAGTGTTGCCTCGTTCACCTGCAGGCAGAAGGACTGACATTATTTTGCTGTGACAGGGCAAGGTCCCGTTGAAGCCAGATTTAAAGATAGGTAGTTAGTGTAGTTCAGTAAATCGGGTCTAATATCGAGTAAAATCGAAAATGAAGGCTGTGTTGCGAATGGAGTCCAGGAAAAGTAGAACAACTCTTAGAATGTTAATGTCCCCAAGGCCCAGAGCCCATCCCAAAGAAAAGTTAATGAAACAGCTCCCAGCAAAGATGGAGATGCTAATCCAAAAGTCCTTCCGGCCCAGATTACTCCTTTGGCCCACCTGTGCCCCACCCTTTGGGCCTTTCCACCTGCAATCCATCACTGAAAGTTAACAGAACAAAGGACAGGAATGCCACAGGAATGCGGGAAAGCTGAAGAAGACCTTAGCTATAAAAAGGGGAAGACATCGCCCTTCCATGGATTCCACCTCTTGGGTCCTCTTCTTCCTCCGGGGAGAGGGGAGAAGTCTTTTCTGCTGTCCTTTAATAAAGCTTCTACTTGCCACTCTAAACTTGCCTCGCCGTGCTTCTCTGGTGTTATACTTTAACATTGGGGAAGCAAGGACTCGTCACCGGTCAACAACGGTAACACCGTCAGACAGAACGGGTGGTTCGGGGCCATGACCTGGTCATTAGGGGAGCTAGACAAGCCTGTGTGATCCCAAGACTCTTCCCATGTACTCCAGGGACAAAGAAGAACCTGAGCCATCCCAAGGCAGGATGTGTCCCCCTGCAGAAATGGGACAATGAGTGGGTGGGGACTTGTTGACAGCGATGACTCACAGAACTCCAAAGCTCTTTGAAGAGTCCTCTCACCCAAATGTTCTCTTGTCTGGACGTCCAATATTTATTGAGGCCCACTGAACTTCTCTCCAGGGAACCCCGAGAGGTGAGTCACCAGGGCCCTCCACGTGTCACCCCCACCCCACTCACCTCTTCAAACTTCTTGGCTTTGTATTGGTCGGCCCCCTTGAGGAAATTGAGCAGGATGATGTCACAGAGGACTGTCCCCTGGAGGAGGAGAGGCAGGGCAGGCTCAGAGAGGTGGCCCTGGGAGGGGTGGGATCAGGGAGGCTGGAAGCCATGGGTTCAAGTGGCTACTGAGCTGCCCCCAGACAGACAGTGGGTCAGGTGTGGGGCGATTCCTCCAGAGAGGCCGGACTGATGACTCCCCTTAGCAAATGCCCAGGGGCTTTGCAGGTGTTGTCATGGCCACCTTCCTGGCCCCTTACCACCCTCAGAGCTTGGAGAGAGGAATGAAGGATCTAGAGGGAGGAGTCTGTGGGAGCAGGGCTCTGACGCCACCTTGCTCTGGAGTCTCCTCCCCACCTTCACGGTGCGAACCAGAAACTGTAAGATGTGGAACTTGCTGGAAGGCAACTCCGGGATAAGGAGCTCTGTGGGAATGCTGGGGGCGGTCAACCCAGGGCCTTACCTTCCAGCCCAGGTAGGGCTCGCCTTGGCCACGCCCTCTCCCCTGGCTCCACCCCTTCCTGGGCCCCACCCCGGCTGTCCCGTCTGACCCCCCCCCAGAGGCTGAACTCACCACTCCCACTGAAGTAAAGGCCGCCACGGAGCTGATGATGGTGGGGATGATGTTGAACTTGCCGGCCTGTGTGCGCAAAGATGGGGGAGTAGGCGGAGGGCCGGAACACGGCTGGAAACTGAGGCTGAACGCGGTCTCCCAGCCAGAGACTCTCACAGGGCCATAGAGCAACGGCAGGGCCCACCCCTTCATGGTACAGGTGAGGGGACGGGAGATGTGGCCTCTGGTCAGCCCCTGCAGGGCCCAGCAGCTGGCCTGGGATGCCCCTCCTGCTGTCCACACGCCGGGCCCCAGGACTCACGTTCCCATACACCAGCACGTCGAAGCGGATGCCGAAAGCCTTCAGGAGCGTGCGATACTCGCTGCCATTCTCCATCTTGTAGTACTTGGCAAACCTGGAGGCCAGGGGCGAAAATGGGTCCCACTGCGGGCTCCTTTCTCTCCTGTCCGAGCCCGCAGGGTCCTTAGAGGACCCATGACCCTCAACAAAGTAGCCCTTACTGATGGTTTGGTGAGACACTTGCCACCGTCCTTCCTGGCTGGTTACCTGACCACTTACACAGGCTTCATCGTGGGAATTTAAGAGCAGCTTCCTGGGCCACACCATGAACCCACAGGGTTAGCATCTCTGTTGGTCTGATGTCCTATGTGTACAAAAGCTTGAGACGCTGCTGGACTCTGGGCTTCTTCAATGCTGCTCATTTGGGATCCAGGGTCCAGCTCACTGCAGGTGCTCCTGCCTCTGCTGCCTTCTCAACCTGGCTCTCTCACCTACGAGCTGTGCGATCTTGGGCCAATTATTTAACCTCTCTGAAACTCAGTTTCCTCATTGGCATGTGGGGACAATACAAAAATCCTGCTTCACAGGGTTCCTTTGTGAATTGAATGAAACCACATGTTAGGGGTTTAGAACAGTCCTGGGACAAAATAAGAACTCAGCAAATATTTGCTGATGTTGACTGTTGTTATTTGCTCAAGAAATATGTTTACATTTATAGAGTGGTGGGAAAAAAAGTGCTTCCAGCCACCTCATCTCCTCTCATCCCTGCCTGGGTCCTATGCAACAGGGAAGCGAATGTTCTTTTGCAAAGAAGACTCTGAGAGGTGAAGTCACTTGTTCAGGGTCACCCAACTGGTGAGAATCAATGCTGTCTTCGTCCAAGTCCGAGACTGTCTGGTACCTTGGCCAAGACTATTCTCTACCTTGGGTGCTGGGTGCCATGAACTGTGCTGAGGCCTTGAGAATGACCACATTTAATTCTCTCCACAGACAGCATGGGCACTCCACACAGAAGGGACAGTCCATACCCCCATCTGCAGAAGGCTGTGGTGAGGAGGGGCCTTGCCTGTAGTTTCAATTAGTAAGCGCCGGATTGGGGATTTTATGGCATTAGTCATTTGGCTTTGAAATCTAGAGCACTTGGCCCTGCATGACTGCCCAGCATAGCCCAAATGCTAACATTAGTGCAGCCTAATCTCTATGGGTTTCTGTCCCACAGCTGAACAATGGGTTCCTGATGTCAGTCCCCTTGAAAGTGGCGAGGATTAAGTGAGATGACCGGAATGAAAAAGCCCAGAAAGTTCTGCAAGTCTTGGGGTCAACACAGCTCTTATTTAGTGCTAGCTGCCTCCCTCTGAGTGTTCTCAGCCCCCAGAGACTCACAGGCCTCTCCCAGCAGAAAGAAGGAGGTGAGAACTCATTCCCTGGAAGTTTTCAATGAATGACCATACACAGTGGTGCATGCCTGTTATCCCGGCTACTCAGGAGGCTGAGGCAGGAGGATTCCAAGTTGGAGGCCAGCCTCAGTTACTTAGACCCTGTCTCAGAATAAAATATAAATGGCTGGGGATGTAGCCAGTGGTAGAGTGCACCTGGATTAAAAAAAGAAGAAAGAAAGAAAGAAAGAAAGAAAGAAAGAAATTTTTTTCGAATGACGGAAGTAGTATCTCTTCCATAGATATTTGCATTTGAAATTGTACAGCAGGGAGAAGGAAAAGCTCAGCCCAAGCAAATCAATAATGGAGGGATTATAGAAACCGGAGGAAGATAATTGTGATGGGGAAGGGTCACCTTCAATCATAAAACATTGGCTATGCTCTGGCTGTAGCCAACTCCTCGGGCAGTGGGGAAATCTGGAGAGAGGCAGAGATGTCTAAACCCTGGCTTTATCACTTGCTAGCAGTGATGTTACTTAGTCTTTAGGGTGTCAGTTTCCATGACTAAAAAATAGCGGTGGTCATACACTCCCCCCCATTGCTAGTGGTGGTAGGTAAACACTTCATGGGACTGAACCCTGGAGGCAGACACCACAGAAACCCCTTTTATGATTTTGTCCACCTGCCCCTCCGTGCTCAGTCTCTGCCGGTCTTTGTCCAGCTCTGGGCCCCAGGAGCCTCATCTAAGAGACAGCTTCCACCAGTTGCCCTGTTCAGTTTGCAGGCGGGTTCTGTAGATAGACCCACAAAAATTTCAGGGGGTGGGAGAACAGGAGGGTCAGGGTGTTTAGTCTGCTGAGGCTCAAGCAATGGCTCAGTTCCCCCTCAAAGGCCAAGAACCTGAAGGACAGCCCTGTCCTGCAGCTGTGGATTTCTCCAAGTTCTGGAAATTTCCCCTCTTTGCCCATGCCAGCCTTCTTGGCAGCTAGCCTTGAGGTCTTCCACCAGCCTCCTTGGTTCCTTGACCCCAGTGCATCTTTGTGAATAGCACCTTCACCTAATCACCTCTTTGGAGACCACCCACTGTTTCCCACCGCCAGGACACTTACCCTAGTCACCCCCAGGAGGCAGAGGAGGAAGCTCAGGCCTAGGGAGCTCTGTAGGGTGGGGAAGGGGTGCGGGAGCACAGGCCAGCACATTTTTTCTATGGTGCCTGGGCAAGGCCAGGACCTGTGTGCCCAGCAAAGGTGGAAGATGAGTGAGAAAAAGGCCCCTGGGGGAGCTGGACCCAGGAAGTTATTTCCTGTGAGCTCTGCAGCTGGAGGGAGAGGCAGGGGAGGCAAGAGGGTCTTCTCAAGTCCATGAGGCCCAGGGTGAAATGAGAGTGGGCCCAGGGAGGAGGCTGAAGGCATTGCCACCACTCGGCCTGAGAAGGAAAGGCTTGGAGGCCGGGGACAGGTGGGACAGGTGACCCATCTCTAACTCTAGTAACTTCTGTCTGGGTGGTGGGTGGGAGGGAGCTTCACAGACCAAGGGAACAGGATGGATTCAAGCTGCAGCAGCAGGATGACAGGTAGACATCGGAAGGATATCATTTCTCTAAAGATGGTGTGATCAGGCCAAGAGCCTTCTCTGAGGAGGCCTCTTAGGAGGTTTCTAAGAAGTCTGGGAAAGAAGTATCTGCAGTGGGCAGAGGCTCCGGAAGTCTTCCTGGATTCCAGGTTGGCCTGAGCGTAAGTAGGGACTGTGACCCTTTCCACACCCGAAGCCATTTATAAAGCACCGGAAGTATCCGCAGATCCCTTAGCCCTAGCAGCTCAGTTATTCTCGGGAAGAATGTGTGGTTGTTGAACCATTTTCTAGATGAGACAGATGAGAAGGTAACTCGCCTGAGCCGGGCTCTGATCTGTGCTGCGGACCCTGAAGGCCACACCCTTAGTCCCACGCCATTTGCCTTCGGCTCCAGGTGGCTGTTAAGGGTGCAGGCAGCCCTGTAGTGTCTCAAAGCCCTACTGATTCTGGGTTCTACATCACTGGAGAACTCAAGGCCCCTGTCTCAGAGCTGTGACAGCTGATGCCAGTGAGGCAGGCAGGGGTGAGAGCATGGGCCATAGGCATGGGCATCAGGGTAAAGGCTGGACCTTCACTCCCAGCCTAAGGCTATGGCCACGAGAAACACTCTGACACTGACGTGGAGAACAAGAAGTCTGCATCCCGGGCACTGCTGTTCGGAGCGAGGGCTGGCTGAATTTATTCTGGGAAGGAATGTGAAGGAAACAGGGAGAAAAATCAAAGCGGTCTTGGTTTTTCTCCAGCACCTGCCTTCCAAGAGGCAATAAGCATGGGAAGATCATTATCTCACCAGCCACCCACCCTCGAGGCTTGGCAGGGACAGACTCTCCTCCCCAGGGGGGAGGGAGGCGGAGGGACAGCTTGGGGAGGAGAGTCCCACAGTCCCGATTCCTGTGCTCCAGTGTGGAGATCTGGCTGACTCCTGGGGCAGAGATGGCCAGTGGTCACAGGTCTGAGTTACCTTCTCTCTCTCGGCACATGTTTGGAACCCATTTTTTAGTCCCTTGTATCTAGCTGGGGCCCCATGACTATTTCTTGCCTGTAGAATGTGAATGAAAGTGAGTCTTGTCCAGAGGTGAGGGGAGATGGTTCAGAGCAGCATCTCTTTTTCATCCCCCCCTTCCTCATCTGATGGCCAGTTGCTCAGGAGCTAGGGGGAGATCTCTGAGGCCCTGGGAAAGACTGAGTCAAGATGGCAGGAGCCCAGATCCCTGAATGATTATGTGGGATCCCCCATCCCCACTGACCTGGTGTGCCCTGAGCAAGAAATAAACCTTTGTGTTAAGCCACTGAGGTGAAAGGATTGTTTGTTATAGCAATTAGCAGTACTTACCCTGGCTGTCACAGACCCTCCTATGTTTTTTATTTTTCTTTTGTGTCACTGGGGACTGAACCCAGGGAAACTCTACTACTGAGTTACATCCTCAGCCCTTTTTATTTTTTATTTGAGACAAAGCCACACTAAGTTGCCCATGCTGGCCTTAAACTTGTAATCCTCCTGCCTCAGTCCCCTGAGTAGCTGGGACTATAGGCACTTGCCATTATGTCCTGTCAACAAACACCCTTGGTTTCATAGATCAGAAGATTGAGGTTCAGGGAGAAGAGTTTGCCAAAAGACAAAAAATGAGTTAAAATTGGGGAGGATTAGATAGAAAGAAGGCAAATTCCCAGGATGCTGCATTCTTATGAATCAGCCTGTGCTGATTCCTAACAGGTCCTAGGAAGCTGGGTACGTGGCTTGGTTCTCATGAACTGGCTTCTTATCCCTGGGAAAGTCACTCAAACTATCTGAGCCTTCTATGACAAATGAAAAATGAAAGAAAAGAGTTATGGGGAGGATCAGTTGAGAGAGGGCCCATACATATTAGGTGCTCTTCTTATACTAGGATCAGGATAAATAAAATAATTTCTACATTTATCTTAAGTATATGCTCTTCTCACTCCTGGAGATAGTAATATTAGCAACAGTCACTGCCAACATATACTGAGTGCTTACTGTGTCCCCTGCACTGTGCCAAGTGCTTTATACCTAATTCACTTCATACAACTATCCCATGAGATTATGTATTGTTGTCCCTCCTACTTTCGGAGAAAGAGCCAGGACCAGAGATGATAAGCAACCTGTCTAAGGTCACAAAGCCAACAGTCAGTGAATAAAGCTCGGACT